TTTCTCTTGTACCTGGAAGTCAGGAGTGGTACTTACTCATCGATGGGCTGAATTTTTATGATCATACATTTAGTAGGCATCTTGTACAAACAGAAAAGGTTTTTTTATTCCAAGTACATAAAACTTCCCTAGTATCTTGAGCAATAATTTTGGGGTACTTAAGCTAATGCTGCCACTGAAAAGTCTTTTCTTTTTGATTTTATGTCCAGAGATGGGCCAGATCAGGAGTCTGAATCACTTGAGAAACTTTCCTATTTGTTCTTTATTATTCTGGGAGGCAGGTTCCTCAGTCTGGTTTTGTGTGTGATTTTGCTGATGGTTATGCAGAGATGAGATGAGATGACATGGAGAAGGACAGGTGATTGGAAAAGGTGAGAAGTTGCTTTTGTGATGGCTGTGTTGGCTTGTGGCCATTTCAGATTGCCCATGACAGGTGGGTTGTGTAGAGGGGAATGCTCTGCACTGTCATCTGGAGACACCTTTGGTTCCTAGTTTGGGTCTTCAGTGAACAAAGCAAGGTGCAGATTCTTATTGCTCAACACAGAGGGCAAAAAGAATCACCAGACTTTGCCTGAGGTTTCCTTCTTCAGGTTTGGAAGGAAGGACTGTTACCCAGAAACTGCTTGTCTTTTGGTGATAAGGAAGAGATGAAACATGAAAACCAGTGCTTATATTGACTGGGTGATTTTCTTGAGTGGAAATGCAGAAGAAAAAAATCCCAGAAGGTACATAGTAGAAAAACAATAGGCAGATGGCAGAGACCTGGTAGGGTGAATGTCCACAAAGATGGGTGAGCTTGTACATGGAGGGACAGGGGCAAAGTGCTTGACCTGCAGCTGCTGATTCAGAGAAAAGAGCTTCCAAGTGTCTTCAGTGTAGCGCCATTACTGTTGTTGTGGCAACTTTGATTAGCTGGTTACCATCTTCCCTGGCTGGGAATGAAGTGGGTCTCTGTTCCCTTGGGAATACAGAAGTTATTCATTTTTTCCCAGAAGAGGGGAGAGTGCTGCTTGGAACGCCAGCTCTCAGTGCTGTGGTGTATTTTGCACGGTTGCTGCTTGGGAGCGGTGGTGTGTCCCAGTGGCTGGGCACCCCTGGAATTGTTCTGTAGGTAAAGGTCTATGGAGCAGTCTGTGCCAGGCTGGACAGCTCTGCTGGGATTGTTGTCTGGACAATGCTCTCACTGTGAGGCTGTAGGGCGGACACACAGAATATGTTATGGAACAGTGCTTGCTGTGTCTCTGGCTTGGCATGCCTTAGCAGGCTGTGTTGTGAGCACTTGCCCATGAAGCTGCCAGAAATGGATACCTAATGGCAGAGAATTTATGAAAATTGATCTCAGCCACGTAAAGATGGAGGTTCAGAGTGAGATCTCAGGTTATAGAGGAAGCAGTTGGGAAGTCACCTCTCAGTAGCTGGCTGAGAAAACTGTCATAAGGCACCGGTGTGCTTGGTTTTATGAAGTACTAGGGTATAATAATTAGTTACTTCTTACTTAACTAAGTAAGAATCTGATAGTTTTATTAATATTAATTCTTAAACCAGCTTCCTTACATGGATGTTGACTTTCAGGTGTGGTAGTGCAAGAATCCTGAAAAATGTACTTCCGTGGGAAAACCCATGTTGTCTTTGTGTTTTGAGCAGTGTTCTGCATATATGCTGGAGTTTGGAAATGAGTTGGGAGTTGTTCTTGTAACATGACATGCAGGTGAACTGCACTGAAGTCAGTCTTCAAAAGAGCCTTTAGCATGGCCTTATCCAGTATTAATTTTCAGATTGAGGATGAAGAATAGTATTTTCTTCGTAGGTTGTCATGTTTAAGTGAATTAAACTGAGAATTGCATCTGAAATCAGTACTTAAGTCAAAGGATAACTGCACAAGCTTGTTACAGGCATTTTCTCTGCATAAGTTTCCATTACTTGCTCCAAGATTGAAGGGTTTTGCAGAAATACCTTGTTAGAAGGAAGCTGGTTGCATTTTTATATGTGCAGTGGAAGGCTGCTTAAATGTGACTACAGCTTCTGAAAACTGTCATTGGTGTGGGTTCTGGCTTTGGCTGATGCCATTTGAGAAGAACATGGCACTGATGCTGTTTGGCTGTGAGAGCATATGAACTTGCATACTTGAAATATGCCCATAGGAGAATCCTGTTATGTGCATGTGGAATCTGTTGGGCTTGTAGAAAGTTATTTAAATTTCAGTTAAAATTACAAATTGGTTTGCAAGACATGGCATTTTGAATAATATTAAAAACTTGGAAGTAATCTTACTTTTTGATTCTTTCATGTGACAGTCATTTGCTTATTACCTCTAACTTAGATTAATGTGTTAGGAAGTATTTATTTGGGATCAAGGATTTTTAGTTTCTTAACAAGCTGTCCATCCAGTCAGTGGTTAGAATTTTAGGAAGTAGTTCTGGTTTCAGGTCTTGTGCAATACCTTAAATAATGTAGGGAAATTTAATGTTTAAAAGATGTGAGGTTTTATTACAATGAGATTCACTTTGGCATTGTAAAATTTTTCTTCAGGTTTGCTTGTGGGTTACTTGTGTTGGAAACTTTGGATGGAATCTGGACATGCCTGAGCTGCTCTCTTGGTTCAGCCTGTCACACTCTGTGTGTTTTGCCTTATTTTTTTTTCCAGCTGCCTGAGGAAGAAGGAAAGTGTGACTGTATCTCCCTGGCCCTGTTTGCTGGAATATCAGTGAATATGAATTTCCCCAGACCATTATCCTGGTAGCAACACTGAGTTTTTAGGTTGTCCTGTTACAAGATCTCTGTGGGGGTGTGGTCAGGAAACATCTCTGGTCTGTGATGAGTTTTTAATTACTCTGCACTTCACTTGTGCAGGATGGAAGGACTTTAATTCTTATTTCTGCATTGCACAGAATCAGCAGGTTGCAGTCCTGAGCACCACTGCAGCCTGTCAGCAGGGCTGGGATGTGTTAGGTCATTGTTTAACATGAGTTTGCATTTCTTCAGTTTCTTCATCAAACCAGAGGGCTCTCAGTTTTAATACAAAACTGATGCATTATGCACAGGGCTGATCCATGATCCATGTATCATCTCTATTTTATCTGTTTTATGAATCTTTTTAACATTTACAGCGCTGTTTTGACTAATGTTTAAAATTATGACAAAATGGCATTTTAATTATCATAGCCTCCAGTGTTGTCATTGAATGAAGAATTATATAGAAAACATTGTTCATCTCAAAAGTATTTGCAGATTTGTGAAGATAAAATTTTATGAACATAAGTTAATAAAATTCAGAGCATAACCCTGGCCATGTTTAATCCATTCTGAAATTCCATTCTTTTTGTTTTTCTCATAGATGTGGTGTTTCTGAGTATTCTTTTAATAGATGAGTTCCACTATTTATTCTCAAATCCAAACAATACAAAGCTTTCCCTTCCCTTTGTGCCAGGCTGGATGAGGGAATGCTTCCCTCTGAAATCAGAGCTAGAAACAGGACATAAACCCAGTGTGGTTGTCCTCAGGCTGTTTCCTTTGGTGTGAGTTTAGCTGTAACCATGGCATGAAAATAATGGCTGTGAACTATATTGTGCATAACCTGAACATTTACATGTGCACTGGTTGTAAGTGCTGAGTTATTATGTTGCATGTATTTGCAATTCACTATATTGATCTTCATGGATGCTTTTTAGGCCTCTATTCCACAGCCTGGTAACTAAAGGTCATACATACAAAGAAAATACAATACTTAAAGCTTAAGATTGTCTTTATGTGTTGGCCAACATTATGAGCAAATAAGATACCTGTTTTTCACTTTTAATGTGGAGATATGTGGAAGTTATTAATGGTAATTAAGCAGTTTATAATTCCTTAAAAGCTTATTGCACAAGTATATAGTTCCATCTAGAAGAGGCAGTCTGTTTGTCAGTGATGTTTAATATTGAGTTTCTGTAGTAGAAAATTCACATTTGTGTTTATATATTAAACAAAAGTATTTTAAATTGTGTGTCTAGTGGTTTGGCAATTATCTCTAAATTGCTTTTGAATTGGGAATGGGATGAGTGTTTCTTTAACTGTCTCTTATCTTCAGTTTTTATTTGCTCAGTGGTACTTAATTTGGAACAATCATGTAATTCAATTATCTTTGTTCCATATCCATAGCCTTGCTGAAATCAGGCTAGGCTTTTGTGTTGGTTTCAGAAATATTCAGTTATGTCTTTTGTCTTTTGTAGGATAAGACTAATGCAATTAATATTGAGTATTATTCTTGTTCTTTTCCATTACTTTAGCACAAGTTATGGAAAACCTGTTGGGAGTTGCAGAGTGACTCCCAGAGCCTCTCCTTGCCTGCTGTGCCCCTGCCAGCACAGTGGCCTCTGCTGCATTCATGTTCATGTTTCCATGCTTTAAACACGGTGTGTTACTTTAGGAGATCAATCGGATGAAGCTGGGTTTAAGCTTCCTGCTGAAATGTCCATCAGAAATCCTGCACTGAGTGATCTGCAAGGTGGAATAGGGAAGTGATTGTGTGTGGTTTAATACATGCACATTGCTGCTTGTTGTGAGGTTTGGGCTTTGATTTGGTTTGTTTTTTTTTTCATTTGTTTGGGGTTTTCCCCCCCAGCTAAGTGAGCCTTAACTGCCATATTGCCACTCTGAAGATGTAAGAAGTGTTATGGAAAACAGGTTACTGTTAGGGTTTTGCAGTAGCTGCAATTGAAGTAATTTTAATGGGTTTGAGGAAAAAAACCTTGAATCTGATGAGTTCAGAATAAATTACCACAAGGCTTTTGAGTTGTCCTTTTTTGGCTGTGTAGGTTTTTCATGCTGCAGCCTTGAATAAAATAAGTTAATTCACAAGCTACAGGTTTTGTGTTCTAGATGAGACAAGAACTTCAGAGGGAGCTGCCATAATTTGTCATCTGGTTCTGTATTTGTATTAAAATAAGAAAAAGAATTAGCAAATGGCACTGAAGAAATGGACACTCACAATGACAAACCTGCCTTCTTTTTCCTAATTCCAGGGCATATTCCCTTGTGGATTCCAGTCAAGTGTCTACTTTCCTGATTTCTATTCTCCTCATAGTCTACGGCAGTTTCAGGTAAGGTTTTCTTTTTAAGGTTCTGCAGAGTTTTTATTTTTCAAGTAAAAATATTGCAAGTGACTGAATATGGCTTATGCCTTTTTGTTTCATTGTATCTTTGTCAGACATATCCAACATTAAAATTATTTGCTTCTGAGAAGGAAATGGAAAAGGAAGAAATAATAGCGAGCTGGGGTTTCTGAGAGGTGTAATTGTTTGTCATGGTACAAGCACATATAAGATGACTTAAAAGTCAGTCCTTGAGGACAACTCTGTAAAATCATAATTTAAAGAGTAGAAAAGGATTGCTGAGACAGATAGAAGGTAATGTTCTCAACAGCAGAGTTTTCTGTCCATTAATCAGTGGTGGCAGATTGTGGATGCTGTCCTGTGAGTTCAAACCTGTCCTGTGGAACAGCAATCCCCAGGTCCCGCTGCTGTTTGCTCGAGTGTCAGTAACAGCTTCATGGAGAAGTGGGAAACACTGCCAGTGTTGAACTCCAGCAAAGCATCTGAAAACTGCTGCAGCATGGGTTTGAGTCTTCAGAAATCAAATTTGCCTCATTTTAGGAGACTTGAGTATAGTTTAGAGAAAACTCAATTATCCTTTTAGACTTGCATGCTGTATTATACAGTCTGTTTTACTGTAATGGCACCTAAGGAATGAGGCTCCTACTGACATATTGAAACAATATAATCACAATATGAAAGTATTTTTTTTAAACTTAAATACAGCATGGTTTTCTTTCTGCTTCTTGAAGAACATTGCTTCATTTCACAGCTCTGTGATAAAAGGCCTTATACTCACTATGGAGTCTCTGAACTGCTATGAGTATTCCTGAAATAGCTGATAGCTGTGCTCATCCATATGATGTAAGCTGCAGCTGTTTTAGGATAAGAGGTTTTCTATCACTACTGTAAGTTAATAAAGTCATATAATGAAAGAGCCAATTTTTTTGCAAGAGCTGTGTGTTGTTGTTAGCAAGCGTTAGGTAACAGCGCTGCTGGTGAAATTAAAATAGAAGGCTTTAGGAAAACAAAATCTAGAGATGGTCAGAATAGAAAAGTAATCAAAGGTTGGATTTGTTTAGTTTTTTCTTCAAGTTTTGAGTCAGATTAGCATATAGTTGAGGAACTAATTAAATTTTTAACTATTTGAATTTATGCTATTGTGTAAAAAGGAACTGTCCATCTAGCTGCAAGAAGCAATAGCATTTATTAAATTTCAATTACGAAAACATAGTGTAATATAAAACAGCAGGAGTGTGTGAACTTCAGTTGCTTGTCTTTCTTGGAGCTCCTTGCCCTTCAAAGTTTTCCCCTGCTGTTTGCCATCCTCTCCCTATTGGTACCTACACATGCTCTTAGCATTTTGTCCTATACTTTACATTTAAAACTACTCACCTAGCAAGGACTGTGAACTCCAGAGCAATCTGACTCACTGGATGGAGTAGTGGGATGGTGATGGATACAAATCCATTGAGGAAATGTCCTGTTTTAGTCTTTTGCCTTTGTGTGTATCCTGAAGACCCCACAATGTGAGTTACAGACCAAAATAGGATCCCACAATTTTAAAATTACTTTCCCAATCAATCTCCTATATGTGGTTTCTTTAGCAGGTGTCTGAGCTGAAACCCGCAGTTACTTTGGGGACTTGGACAAACTCTGATTCTCTTTGATCAGTGAGTGAGGTCAAAAGCAGTTTTTTTACAGAAAAGTGCAGTGGTGCTAACAATCAGGTCTGAAATACAATTAAGTTATTTAAGAAATTGAAGTGTGATAGTAAGTTACAAAATGATATTCATCTGGAAATTCTTGAAGTAGTAAAATGAAAACTTCTGGCAAAGCAGATGAATTTTCTTAGAAAACTGATGTGCTGGAAAGATAAAAGTTACAGCTTAGGGTGCTCATTCTCATCTGTCAGCAGTGGTGTGTTCATCTGGATTTGAGTGCTCGTCTCCTGCAGAGCTGTTGTAAGACAAAAAGAAAATAGCACTCCTCAGTTAACCTTTGTGTTGCAGAAGGTGGGTTTGCTTTCTGATTTTCAGCTGAAAAGCAGCAGGTAGAGTTGTTGTAGTATTCCTGGCAAGTGGCTGAAACACAAGTGCAGTAATAGGATCAGAAGGAATTGGGTGGGTGAGTCATCAGGATAAAATCCACGTGTGTGGTGGATCTAATCTAAGGCAGGCAGCATCAGGGGAACAAAGGAAAGCCTTGGTCCACTGTCCTTATTAATAGAAGTGGCATTTGTCCAAAACAAATGAAAAAATCCCAAATCCCCAGTATACTCAGAAGAATGTCTAATAAATGGTGGGTAAGGCCCAGAACCAGAACAAAGTGACAGAGTTGAGTTCCCCTTCTCTGACTGTGCATGAACGAGCATTTCCTGCCTGCGTTTGTGCCGGGTCAAGAGTTTTCGCTTCCAGCCCTTCTGAACATCTCTCTCATGTACATTCTGACTGCTCTCAGTCCTTGAACTTGACATACTTTTATTACTGGCTGCCAAAGGGGCAAGTCTAATCCTGTAAACTGTTAGGAGCTGTAAACTGGAGCATGCAAGTAGATGGGTTAGTTGTGGATTTTTAAAGAGGTGAGCTCAGCTTGAAACAGGTTGTCTCTGAGGGCAAGACAGCCACCTTTCCAAATGCTTTTCTGTGACTTTAATGTTGGGGTTACTTTACAGGTAACAGCTAAATCTTTTTCTGTCCTATCACATCCCCAGACACGGGCTCTCAGCTTATGTAAAGCCAGATTTAACCCAGAATCTACCTGTTCAAATACCTGCTTTTGAGCCAAACTGAGAAGTGTGGGGTGACCCTGGGGCCTTCTGTCTCTAGGCTTTGTGTATCCAAAGTGTGGGTGTGAATAGAAAGTAGCTCGCATGGTGAACCCAGTGTCATGTGAACATGGTGTGCTGAGCCTTGGCTTTCCAGTGTGGCATTCCCATGCTCCCAGAGGAGCTCTGGGTAGGTGGCTGTCCTCACTGGTAAGAAGGAACTTCTCAATAAGTTCTATCTGCAGGTGCCCCTATAGATATCTAGATCCTTGTATTCCTATTTTCTTCATTGCTTGATAAGAACATCTCCTGCTGGGTTTCCCTGAAGCATTTCTGCAGTGGAGTGATCCACAGTTGAATGTGAGCTTTGCAGGCAGTGCCGTGCCAGCAGCTTACTCATTCCTTTGGCCTCAGCATAACCCTCCCGAGGGGCTCCCTGTGAGAGGGTGACTCGCTTGCTTTGAAGCCCTGCGCTGGAAATGCAACCAGCTGGAGCTCTGAGGACCCACTGAAGAAACAATGGAGCAGCTCAGTGCCCCAGGGGAGATGCTGACTCAACATTCCCTTTGGGAGCCCAGGAGAAGCTCGAACAGAACAGCGAATGTTTCCCAGCTTGCCATTTCTCTACAGCCCAGTAGTTTTGAGTTTATCTTGTTTTACAGTATGATTTTTAACTTTCTTAGAAGGTGTTTTAGTGATTGCTTCTTAGGTTTTTTTATTATGTTAGTGATAATTTGTAGCAGAGGGAAGAGCCAAATCATAAAACAGTTGGAGATTATTCAGAGGTTGGCTTGGAAGAGCAGCTGTGTTGTTAAGTGAAAGTAATTTCCTAATTTATGCTTACTTTGGAGGCAAGGATATTTATAGGTAATAATAATTGCTGACACTATGGCAATGAAAAGAGAGGGGCTGAGGTTGTTTATGAGCAGTAGATCTGATAGGTTTTATTTCCAGTTTTCTCTGCTGATAGAAATTCCTTAAGTTACGAGTTGCCTGATGCCACTGGGAGAATGATGGTGTGAGGTTCTTGCTAAACTGTGCTAATTCAGAGGGGAAGAAAACACTGCACTGAGAAAAGAATTATCTTGTTTGTCTGAATCTTGGACCAAGTCCTGGAGGGCTGTCAGCCTCCTCCCAGATTTTTATAGCTTGAGAGGAAAACTATAAAGCTACAATGCATAATGGGGAAAAAGGGAGTGCGAGTGAATGATGGAGGCACTCCAAACAAAGGGCAGAGCAAAGAGATCTTTAGAAGAACAAGCTAAGAACAACAGATTAATTTGTTAGAATTTTAGTGTTCTCTATTGCCTCTTTGTATTTTCCATAACTCTTTAGCTGATGATCCATGGTCGGTGTAGAAATGCCATTGGATCTGAGGTGGAGGCTTCCTTGTGTTTTGCCTGAGACCAAAAGCTTCTTTAATCTCATAACACTGTTGGGGAGCATTTGCTTGATAGAAGCAAAGGAAGCAAACCAGTTCTGTGCTGGAAGAGCCTTTTTCTTGGTTTTGTTCTATGGAGTGAAGCTGCTCAACCGCTCTGTCTTTAATACACCACATGTGTCTTGATCCTGTAGACCTGGTTGTGCCTAATTCCAGATTCTGGGACTGCAGCACAGACTTGGTCACCTGTGCATTGCAATACATGATCAATGCACTGCAATAAAATATCTGTGACACCTCTACAATAGTTTAGAAGACAGTGGTGTATTTGTTACTGGTCTGTTCACTTTGTGTAACTCAGTTAAGCTAAACTTGAAAAGAAGTTTAATTCCTGTTGACCTAGAAGTTCTATTGAAATACTTGGATGCTGCTGTAAGCTTAAGGCAGGAGCTGTACAGTGGGAGATGCACAGTGCTTCTGGTGGTTCTCTGTAGCTCATTTGAATAAATCAATATTCAGCTAAATAATGGATACCATATATATGCATCAATGATAAACTGTCGTGGTAAACTTGATTGCTGGTATTTTTTTTTTTTTAAAAGCACATTGAATTTAACAAAATAAATTATTGCTGGTCAAAACAGACCTTAAGTGAAATTTCCCCTTTTCAGAAAGTCATGCCAGATGTGTTAGAATATAATTTGGAAGTTGTATCAAGGTGAAGGGCTGTGGCAAAAGGGGTAGAATACTGTCCTAAATTGGAACTTTAAAAAAAAATTTTTGTATCAACATGGAAAGATGAATCAAAAGCAGCTGAGCTGGCTGCTCAGGGGAGTGTGTCCGTTCCTATGGATTAATAAAAGTGTATTAATTTATGCTATTTATTCAGAGCTTCCTCTATTCATTTGTTCTGTGTACATGTAAAATATATATCTGATTATTTTCTAGGCTTTGCTGAAATTTTTTCGATGAAGTATGACCTTGCATTAAGCAGACACTTAAAAGCTAGTTTGGGTCATTCATGAGAACATTTCAAGGAAGGAAATATTATTGTCTTAAAAATGAAACCTGATAGTCAAATTTGAAAGAAAAGGAACAAAAATGAGAGCTTGGAAAGAGTTGAAGTTTACAAGAGAATTGAAATGTTTATTGTGCTTCCCTTGTGTTCTACGCTTCCCAGAAATCAGGTAACAGCAAACAGCAGCACAGGTATTCAGTGCTCCCCAGTGCAGACACTGGTGACTGATCTCACTGTCAGAATCTGGGATGTGGGGCCTCATTTGAACTAAGCACTTCAGTTATTTTAATTTCCCACTGTGTCTGGTGTTGTTTCTAATAACCAGCGTTACAGGGCTTTTCCAGGGGCAGGGTGCTGTGGCAGTGGGAATGAGACTGCGGCTGATGAGCCTAAACAGGAGTTTGGAAGTCATCTGTCACATTTGCTTTGTTCCCTGCAGGTCTCTGAACATGGACTTCGAGAATCAGGACAAAGAGAAGGACAACAGCAGCGCCGCTGGGTCCTTTAATGGCAACAGCACCAATAACAGTAAGGGTCAGCTTTACTCCTTACCCTTTCTGCTTCACCTCAGTGCTGCACCTCCTGCTTCACCTGTGCATGTGTCTGAGCTGCTGCATTGCAGACTCACCTGAGCCAGGCTGTGTCTGGGCACTCCCCACCTTGCTGTGCTCTGACACTGCTGTCCACAGCTGGTCATGCTGTTAAAGCATCAACATATCATTTCCATAATGCATAAAAATTACATGTGGCACAGTTTGTCAGGTTTGACTGGCAATGGAAACAGCTTCACTTTGGAAAAAGCCACTCCACAGTTAGGAGAAGGACGTGTAATTCCTTTGTGGCTGGAGCTCATTGCTGTGGTGTGTTGGCCAGTCTGTGAGCAGGGAGTGATTGCAGGGTGCACTGACAGGTTCCTAAGGAGGATTCACCTTATCAGGAGGGAAACTGAAGCAGAGAGGTCACATGGCTCTGGGCAGCTCATTTGTAACGGACAACAAATATGTGTCTGCACCCTGTCTATTCAGAGTGGGATTAACATGTCAGCTCCTGCGTGGTGACTGTCCCTCCTGTGATCTATGAATAGATTGCAGGCAGCTTGGCCATCTGACACGCACAGTTTTGCAGGTAAAAATATGGAACCAATCAGTTAGAATGGAACACTGTGCACAGTGTGCTGTAAATTCATACTTGAGTTTAACTGAAGGCAATTTATATTGCCATATTTTGAGAAAGGGCTCTAGAGTGAAATAGTTTCCCAGAGTATAGAAGGCAGAAGTGAGAAGCCCTGTGCATGAAACCTTGAATGCTAAGCTTGTTTTGTTTAAAGCAAGAAGCATACCTTTAAAACGATGACTGAAATAACATATGTTGTACATGTCTCTTGCTGGTTTTGTCTTTTCTAATGTACACTCTTGGAATTTAAATAGTTGTCACAGCACTGCTTCTGTTGGCAGCACAGAGCAAAGAGGTTGCTGTGCTTGGTGATACAGCAATGAACAGCTGAAGCTTTTGGCTTCTGGGAAGGAAGAGAAGACAGTCTGGGGCTAGGGAATAAGCACATTAAGGAGATTAGCTGTCAAAATGATCAGAAATTAAAGGAAGAACTCTGACATTTAATGCTGCAGGCACTAATTCCCAGATGCCAAGGTGGTGTGTAGTGTGTCATTTCTGGGCTTTAGTTTTGTTTGGTTTTGCTCTTGGAAAGTTGAAGGACATGTGAATAAATGTGCTTTCTCGGGGCAGGAGGAATCAGATCTAAGTCACAGATTAGAATTTTTGTGTCTTCACGCTGTCATCACTGGACCATCTACATTGCACTTTACCTTAATGTGCCAGACCTCAGCAATGTAGAAATCCCAAGTGACTGAGTTCTGCTTTTTATTTTTAAAATTTATTGTACTACTTATGTTTAAGAGTACATGACATGAACTAATAGGCATGACCATGTGCAACTGTCATGACTTGCATGCTTTTTATTCAGCTTTTATGAAAATGATTGAATTTTTATAACAGATACTAAGTTGTAGTGAGTGTATTTCATGTGTGTTTGAGGTTTTTCAATGTAATCAGATACATTGGTAACTGAGTTGTACAGGTAACCTGTTATTTATATGACTTGCCACTCTTGACGGGGAAAAAATAAAATAAGACACAGTCTTACACAGAAGCACAGACACACAATCTGTGTGTATATTTACATGACTGTGTATGTCTCACAACCCTAAAGGCTTTTCCTTCAAATCCTAGGATGGGTAAAACCCCCTTCACACAGCAGTGTTTAATTATTTTAGGATAACACAGTTGATGTCAAGCTGGTTTTACATCTCTTCTAGGCCTTAGTCTTGTATTATTTTCTGTTGGTCACTTACCAAGTGACTACTTCAGATGCTCCCTATTGTTACTTTAGTGCTCTACAAGTAGAAGTGTGTCTTGTATTTTTAATTGTGTTGCTGCTTATGGCTTTTCTCCCCAGGGATCAAATGTAAATATAGCTACAGAGATTGGTTAAGTCTTGGAATTTGTGGGGTTAGGTGGACTTCTCAATTTTGCTGGTATTTCTGAAAACTCAGAAATACAGTAAAAGTTGTCCTTTCCCATAATTAACATCCCTGGTAATCACACTGTATGGGTGAGCTGAGCGAAATACTAAGAAGAAAATAATTCAGTATCTCTGCCCTGTTTAAAATTACTGCCAACTGTGAAATGTGAGCCTGAATTTGTGTTGGTTTTTAGCAAAAAGGCAATTACAATGCACTTCACTGACCTGGTGGTTTCATAAACAGGTTAAATGACTTGAGTATTTTTTGAAAACTGCCCTTTATTGTTAGGCTTGATATTATCTCATGATTGCAGCCTGTGATGAAATTTAAGAGCTTGGTGGCCTTCACCCAAGTGGAATTTGAAGCTGTGGCACCCTTTGCATGAGCTGGGTTAGCCTAACACTGGTTTTCACTTTGTGTTCAGAGATTAAGTAAACCTTACATATGCTCTGTTCAACACATTTATGTGTCTCAGTGTGAAGTGATTCTAATCCCTAAATAATGTTAATTTTCATAGCTTGTCATTCATTCTCTCTGTGGCACCAGATCAGACTGAACTTTCAGTTCCTGGGTTCTGCAGAGCGGGGCTGTGCTGGGCTCAGGGAGCAGCAAGTCAGTGCCTGCTGCAGCAGCACTGACAGGAACGTGCTGTCAGAGCCCTGCCCTGTGCTGGCCGGGGCTGTGTCCCTGTGTGGCACCAAACACAGCTCAGTGTCCCCCTCTCTCCTGCAGGTATTCAAACCATCGATTCCACCCAGGCCTTGTTCCTGCCCATCGGAGCCTCCGTGTCTCTCCTAGTTATGTTCTTCTTCTTCGACTCAGTTCAAGTTGTCTTTACAATATGCACAGCAGGTGACTGTTTTCTTCTCTTTATAAGACTTGGAATAGAACAGAAAGTATTGATATAATTAAATATTGCTGGTAAGAATTATAATACGCGTCACAGAACATTAAAAAAAAGAATCATCAGGTTTCACAGCTGTATTTTCAGGTCTGTGTAGCTATAAATAGACAAGTATTATTTGAGAAGTATTTTCCACTTAGAGATGTGCTAAACCTACTGAACTGTAAATTGCCAGCAGTCTAAACATGCCCAGATGTGTTATTTTGCATGAAGTTCACTTGTTTATAAATTGGTGCTCAGAACAGTACATGTTACTTCATGGGAAATAACTTTGGGGATCCTGTCCAGAGGCTTCTTTCCTACTTTAATTTTTTGCTTTAATGCAGTTTTTCTGTTTCTGGTCTCACTAACAGTTGAATATTAGTCTTTTGCACTGCTTGAATTTAGAACAAAATTGAAATTTACCTGCAAATAAGTTGCAGATCCTCCAGTCCAGTTAAGCATTTACATTTTGTCTTTTAAATAAATGCCAGGGCACTGCTTTTTGGAAAATTTTGGCCTGTTGATCTTTTTGCAATTCTATAAGAGACCAGCTGCTGTTGAGAGCAGCAAGATTCTTCCTACTGCTTCAGATACACAGCAGCTTCTAAAAATTGTACTCAGTCCACATACTGCGTCTGTGAAGATTTTTAAACTCCTAAATACCTCTCATCCTCTCCTACTTCACTGCAGGCTTTGCCCTTATGGTTTAACTCCTGAGCTATGCCACCCTCTTGAACAGGGCTGATGTTGATGGCTGAAATTTAAATCTCTAGTCTTGAGACTCCTGTCTAATTCTGCCTCCTGTAGAGGCCTGTTGAATTCTGCTTTTATAACTTTGACCTATGACACATATGTTCTTTCCTATTAAAAAAATACTTCAGATAGATTCTACTGTATGCTAGATATGAGGGAAATATACACAAACAAATATATAAGATGTAACAAGGAAAGATTTATGACAAAAGAGGAATTTTAATTTGTTGGGATTATTGGTCGATTTATTTTTTTAAATTACCTTGGGATTTGTAACTTCATTTGTAACACATCTGCGTGTAAGTAGAGGATCCTGTGTCCCTTGGGGCTTGTTGTAGTCTCAGGGGACTGGGGGTCAGTGCTCTTGGGTATCTTTATTCTCAAATCTGCTTTTATGGTATGTTCTTGCTCTTCCTTGGGCTTGCATCAGAGGCTGTCATCAAGCCCGGAACCTCTGAAATGCAAAGCTTCCTCAGAGGCTGTACTGCAGGATGGGGAGGGACCCTGCTGGATGTGAACCTGGGGCTGTGGAACTTGGTCCCTCTGTCCCTTGAGAGGGACAGACCAAGCTCAGGTCATGCTGTTTTACATCTTCTGTAGCTAGTAGGGGCTGATGTGGGGAACTGCCAAATTACAGCTGATGTCTGGTTTCTTAAACCCCTCTCAAATCTTCCTCTCACAGAGATTTGCCTTTCAGGGAAGAGTCAGGAGCAAGCATAGGTGCAGCAAGCAGCCAAGGCCAGGACCCAGTGCTCGGCGGAGGCAGAGCCCCACAGCTGGCATTGCCTGCAGGCAGGAGTGAAGCCAAGGGGCTGAATCGTGGGCATTGAGGCTGGAGGGAGCCCTGGGGCTGAGCCTGGACAGTGGGGATTGAGGCTGGAGGTGATGGGAGCCCTGGGGTTGAGCCTGGACAGTGGGGATTGAGGCTGGAGGGGATGGGAGCCCTGGGGCTGAGCCTGGACGAGGCTGGGAGCAGCTCCTCCTTGCAGTTTAACACCCACTGTGAAGGAGCCCAGCATGGGGACACTGGGGCAGGAGGTGCAGGGTTCCCTGCTGGGCAGAGCTGGAGGAGAGGAAAGAGGAGGAGATTCCAAGGGCAAAGAGGTTGAGCCTGTGCTGGGGGAGGCAGGGTAGGGAGCAGGGAGGGCAGGCAGGACTTGGGGCAGCAGGGGCACAGGGTTCCTGGGCAGTGTTCTTTGCCAGGCACCTCCAAAGAGGTTCTTAGTTCAGTTTGTGCAGAGGTGCCACGCTGTTCGTTCTTTCCCTACAGCTTCTGGTTTTCTTCCCCGCTCTGAAATACTGATAGAACTGTGAGTTTTCATGGTGCTGTTTGTATGCAGACACTTTCGAAATTCTCTTTAGATTATTTGAGTTCTCCTTTTTTTGTTTTGTTTTGTTTCAAATCTTCCTCCCACCAGAAGGGAAAATGTGGTTTGACCAAATGAATTTTTCTCTGGTTGGCTTAAACTGTGTAGAGAATGCCTTAAACTGTAAGACAATGTTTGATTCTTTCCCATCATCTTCATTTGAGAAGAGAACAAAAATCCCTTTTAAAAACCAGCAACAAAAATTTTTAAAGGAATAAGTAGAGAACAGCACAAAGATCTGAACTGCAGCATGCAAAAAGTTCCAAGACTTCGATTTTCATGGCAGTCTGTTCTTGCTGCACAGTTTTGGATGTGTGCTGCTGACATGTCTGTGTCTCCACGCCCTCATGCTCCATCCTTTTAAACAGTTCTTTAAAAAAACGGAAAGGAAAAATGATTATAAATACCAGCAGTTACTAAATGTTTTTACAAATGTGTGGGTGGGATAAGTATGCTGCTTGAAAAAGAAAATGTTTATGGAAATAGTCTGTTTGGATATTTATGTATTTTTATCATTCTGTTTTCAAAAACCTAAAGCACTTTATTTTAAAAAAGTGAGGTTGCCAGCTACTGGCTATAAGTTTTTTGAAGTTGTACTGTGTTTTTAGTGATGAATAAAGAGTTTTGAGTGAGATGGGAAATTACTATCCAAGTTAAAAAGTGGAAAAAAACTCTCTACTACGCTGAGTTACTCTGTGTCATATGTTGCAAAATTGTAAGAAAATCTCACAACCAGTTTGTAGTAGATTTTTTTTTTTTTTTACTCAGAATATGTGAAAACTTTTTCTTGCTGACATGATAATGAATATATTTAAGACCTTTTTTTTTAGGGTTTGGGGAAGGGGCATTGCATTCCTTTGAGAGCTTTCATTTTATTTCAGTCTGAAGGCTCACTGTTGTGCAGAAAACCTCAGAGCTTTGAGCTCTTCATGCTGGAATAATACTGAGCATATGATAATAGGACATTGTTGCAAGAGCTTTTTCAAATTGGAGAAGCATGTTTGTGTACTGTAGAAATTAGGTCTGAATGTCCTAATATTACCTTTTCTTCTTTTCATAGTCCTTGCAACAATAGCTTTTGCTTTCCTTCTGCTCCCGATGTGCCAGTACTTAACACGGCCTTGCTCACCTCAAAACAAGTAAGGACTTGAGCAATCCTTTGCTCCTCTTCTTGTGTGTTGTGTTTCTTTCTTTTAATGAGAATTCTTTAATAAGCATTAACCTCAGGGCTGATGTTTGTGCATTTTTTTTTGGTGCCAACATCATGTTTCCACTGTGAAAGTAGGAAGCACATTTTCTGCAGGTCACTCACACTTGCCAGCCTGGGAAATGCAATACCATTACAGGGGACTAGATTTCCCAACAGTGATTTTTAATAAGTTTGGCTTCTTTTGGCTGAGACTTTAGAGTTTGGGATTTGGCGTTGGATTTTAATGTTTGTTAACACTGGACTCTGGATTTTAATGCTGGCTCTTTTGAAGACTGTAGTTAAACCAGTGGAAACTGCAGTTGTTAATTACATGTTTTGAAACTAATGTTATTTTTTAACCTTGTTATTGGAGTTCATGTTGCTAAAAGCACTATCTTAGGTGGTGCTAGGAATGTTGGAGATTTCAAGAGGGGTGCCAAGATTTACACAATTTTTTCCATCTCTGCAGTTCATGCTTTACACATAGTTTTTGAATGTGAGGAAAGCTTTTATTTTGTTGCTGTTTTGATACCTATTTGTGGCAAAGGAACTTCCCTTCCGTTGTTCTTGGCATCTTTCATCAGCAGTTGAGCCATGTTCCAACAGTGTCCATTTTCTGTTCTTTAAATGGAAACATAAAGTCTTGCAGCTGATGTCTGTGTGTTGTTCTAGGATTTCCTTTGGCTGCTGTGGGCGTTTCACTGCTGCTGAGTTGCTCTCCTTTTCTCTGTCTGTGATGCTTGTCCTTATCTGGGTCCTAACTGGCCACTGGCTCCTAATGGATGGTGAGTATGTGAATTATGGGGTTTTACTACTGGTTTGTGCCTCTTGTGACACATCATTCACCCTGATGATGGGTGAAATTTGCTAATATTAATGGCTTGGCTGCTGAGCTGTGTGGCAGACTCCCTGAAGAGCTACTGCCAGGAACTTGCCAGGGGAGTGCTTGGAGCACCTGTTTTTCTGGTTTGTAAAAGCTTCCAGGGAAGTGCCAGAACACTCATGGAAGATATTCTGCACCTGTGTGGTGTAGGGTGAATGGCCAGCTTGAGTTAAAGATGCGTGGAGACAGTGGTTGTTTATGATTCATAGTTTGATTCTAAAAATCTGGTTAATTTCTGGAGTGCATCTTGTTGTTTATTGGTTCTGATGCTGAAATAATTTGTTGTGAGGCAGCTCACAGTGGCTGGTTGGCTTTGATCTCTGCTATGCTTGCCTTGTGTGGTGAGATGGGCGAAACTGGCAGTCAGCCAGCTGGCTTGAGGGTGTGATTTATTGAGGTTTTTTTATGGTGGTTGACCTGAATTCACAGCTTACTGTTCCAAAAAGGAGCCTTCATCCTTCCCTCCTGCCTTACAGATCTCTTGTGCTAGCTCTGGCTCTTAGTTAATCACATGGTAAACTGATCCAGCTCACTAGAATGGCAGCATACTTGGGTTTTGCCAGCCTATTTTGCTGCTGCTGCAGTGAGATGAATTGGATTATTGTGTAGTCAGGTATGTGCTAAATTTGGCAGAAGGTAAGTGGCAGCATGATGGGATCTGAGGGGATGGAGTGGATATAATAACAAAGGCATGAAGGAGTAGCCAGGAGCAGGACCTCGGCTTCTCAGCAGTGTCAGGCAGCTAAATTGGCTTAGGACATGGTGTAATGGCCTGCTGAGGTCGTGCTTGCTTGAGGAAAAATTGCTGCAACAACATTACCTGCCCTTGAAATTGTTTGTTACAATAGAAAACATTCATCCCATCAGCTTCCAGCTCCTAAATGAGGTAGCAGCAGCACATCCTTAGCACTGAAACCTCTCATGGCACCATCATTCTTTCTTTTATATGTGGGCACTATGCTTCATTCATGGTTTGAACTGCTTTAAAAGAACCACTTGTTGTATGAAATGGAAATACCTTTTAAAATACCAGATAGTAAATGAAAAAATGCAGACAGAGTCCGTTTTGTGATAAGCAGAGTAGCCCACCATGAAATCGAGGGTGACACTTGATCTGCAGTAGCTGCAAAGCTAAAAGGAATGTCAAGTGTGGATTTTGGCAGAATCTGAAGAGTTGTCTACACTGAGGTATCAGCAGAAGCATTTAGTTAAAAATAGTTATTTTTGTGAGTACTTCAGTCTGACATGGTGGACTTTGCAGTAATTCATCTACAGAGCTCTGAGCTGCTGGTGCAGACTGATGTCTGGCTTCTATTTCTATTGGAGGTTTTTTATGATTTACTGAATTGTGTTGCTGCTGTCTCGCTTGGAATTTTTTTATGTAGTTTATTAAGGGAGCTTGAACTATGTAGGTGATCCTCCTGCCATTTGCTCAAATCCAATTAAATCAGTGTTTGCCAGTGACAGTAAACAGGGAATAGCTTTTACTGGCCTTTGTCAGGGAAACAGACAACAGACTGGAGCTTTAGACCTCATCCTGTGCTGCTGCAGGTGGGATCCCATCGTCTCTGCCTTCTCTGCCTGAGTCCTGGGGGCGCCGGGGGCTCCTGTCCGGGCAGCGCTCGCTGCTGCACCCGGGGCACTGCTGTCCTCAGGGAGCTGTGCCCGGCCCGGAGCTGTGCCCGGCCCGGAGCTGTGCCTGTGCCGTTTGGCCGTCGGCAGAAAAAGGGCCAGGTGCTGTGAACGTGCTGCTGATGGCCCGGGCGGGGCTGGAGGAGGAGCCGGAGGAACGGGGCGGGTGTTCCTTCCGAGCAGCGGCACGTGGAGAGCCCTGGCTGTTCGGTCGGGGCTGTGCAGTTGATTCTGTCAGTGTGAAAGAGCTTTGCAGCTCGAGAGCTGAGGAGAACACGGGAAATACTTCTTGGTAATTGCCAGTCCTTACGAAATCGAGGTGTGGCGGTTCTTGCTGGAGCAGCCTTCGGTGCCCAAATCCTGCCCTGCCTGCACAGCCCTCGGCTGAAGTGGTTCTAAAGACAGGGAGTTGCGGGCAGAGTGAGCCCGTGTTGGCTCCGGGGGGTTGTTCTGGCATGTGATGATCACCTCTATAGGTATTGAAATGCTTATTTCTCAGCACAGACTGTTGGATGACAGAATCACCAAGGATGGTCACTGTTCCCTGGTAAAGCCTGCTTAAAATGAAAGCTTTCCTAAATAGTGGACAGAGCTGGAGATGTACAGCAGGAATGCTATAGATGTGTGGGATGTCTGTAGCTACAGAGTGAACGGCATGGTCACGGATACCCCAGGAGCTGCTGCAGCAATTAGGCCTCACTCTCTTCTTTTGAAATACACTTTCATCAGAGCAGAGCTTCACCTGGTGGCCTGTGGGGGAAGTTAAAGCCTCCCCACCTTACACAGTGCTTTGTAAACCAGACTCTGCACCAGCAGCATCTTGGAGCTTTCACCTGCTCTGGATGCAGGAGAGCTGGAAAACTGCCAGAGTCTAATCACGTATGCAGGAATATTCTTAATTTCAGAATATCCCTGTTCCATAAGGAGTATGTTTGCAGGGACTCTGGAGTTAATTTGTTCTGTTAATTGATGGTTAACTCCTCCAGTGCTTTCTTACTCAGCCTTGTTAACCCATTGCCCAGCACTTCCAAACCAAAGCTGCTGGTTGTGTGGCTGTTCTACCTCTTTTTCTGTCTTTCTCTCATCTTTGGCTATTTTTTTAATGATTTGAAGTATATTTCAGTGAAGATCTGCCTTATATAGTTTGTCAACACTATGCATGAGCTTGGGTAGGGAAGCTGGCTTCCATTTAGAGAAGTCCATTGACTGCACTTTGGCCCATATTACTTGTACTTGCTCTCGGGCATTCCTCCTTGTTTTTTAAATTTACCAGTGTTTCTTACAGCATTTGCAAAACTGTGTAATTACTAGCATGTGTATTTTACTGTCAGCTGAAGGATTTTTTCCATCTTCTTTTTTACCCAGTATTTGCTTAGTTTGATGTCTTGTGCATGTGGCTGTGTTCATTTCAGTGAGAGAGAAATGGAGTGTGTGAACAATAGATAAAACTCATACTGGTTACAGTATTTCCATTTCTCATTAATTATAACCTGGAAATCCTCTCCTAAATATAGGCTTGCTTGAATTATTATTAACACTGGCTTTAGAAAAACCTCTTTGATTTAAAACAGTCTGTTCCCTTGTATTTGCTCTTCTGCTGAGGCAGTCTATAACTCAGGGCTATAGTGAATTACTGAATGCAGTTCTTTTTTCTGCTGCTTTGCTGTGTCAAATTCTTTAAACCTTAATAATTTGCTCACATTTTGTGGCTAGTTACAGTTGTGCAGCGTGATTCAGGGTACACTTTTATGTCAGTGACCCCACTGCTTTGTCAAAACTCGCTGCTGTGACCCTTGGGGTTGTGCTAAGGTTGCCAGTTCTCAGGAGATAAGGTGGGCTTGGCAGAATTGCTGGGGTGCAGCCCCTGGGAACTGCAGGCAGCCACGCTGGCACAAGGCCTAGGGCATGTTTATCCCTTGAATGTGTGTGGATGTGTTTCCCTAGTGAGTGGATGGAAGATCTCCCCAGCTTTCAGGTGAAGTACAAGTTGTAGGTGGCTTCACAGTCTCATAATTACAGCCTAAGAATCCAGAGGTTCATTTGTCCATTTTGGCTGAGTCCAGCTGTCACACTGGTGGGCAAGTGCATAATGAATTGGCTTCCCCTGCAGTTCCAGTTGGCAAAAATGGGATTGTAACTTCTTAAAAATTCCATGTCTCATGTTAGACATTTTGTTGGCAAATGTCTGCGTGATTGACTGTAGTCTGATCCCAGCAGGGCTCCATTATTCCTCGCAAATAGACTGATATCACAGATGAAAGCTGATTGGTTTTAAAGGTTTTTGGGTTTTTTTTTAGAATTTGTTTTATTGTAAGTATTTCTTTGGGGATTTACTTGTAACCAGTAGAAATACATTCAGTTGTCAGTTGAGTATCCTTGGTAGATGAGGCTGGGCTCAAAGAAGCAGGCAATGACACAAATGTGTCATTTGGGGTTTTTGTTTAAAATGTTACCTTCCTACCCTGACAAAATTCCCCTTGGTACAGAGTAAAAATCAGAGCTGTGTCTTGGTGTTCAGCTCATTGATCTGGCTGAAAACTCCCCCTTAGGAGGGATTAGACCCGTATTTTTTCCCCTAAGCTTTCACACACATTTTGGTTATTGGGAAATCCCGGATATCTAAATGATGTTTCATGCTATTCAGGCAGTCTTGCACAGTCTTGCCCAAGCAGAAGTTTGGTTTGAGTGGGTTTTTGTCAGACCAAGTTCTAACATGTCACATAACCGTGCCCTTTCTGAATTAAGAATCAAGGATCTTATTTATTTTATGCATTTCTTAAAAAAAAAAATAAAAATAGAGGAAAAGTAGAGGTTTGTGTTTGGGGCACAGAGAATTCAAAGTTGTTTTGTTGCCTCTGTTTTAAAGTGGATAGTCAGGGTTGTACAGGGGAGATGGAGTCTCCAGAACAGAGGAGATGGAAACATTTCTTTGTGGTGGGTGGTGGAAGTTGAGTGGAACAGGCGGTTGTGCCTGGGGAGGGATCTCTGCTTCCGAGGGAACGTGTTTGCAGTTGGCTGCTGAATGTATTTTGACTCTGCTTAACTCTGGTAAGAAGAATGTCACTGTCTAGAAATGGTAGACAGTCATCTGGTGCATGCAGAGCTGCACAGGTGCAAACAGAGGCTTCTCTGGGGTCCTGGAGGGGAGATACTTGCTTGGGATTGGTGTTTTTCTGTTTGTTCTGCTATTTTAATGAACTGGTGATGTCTTGCATTTTGTAGCTCTGGCCATGGGCCTGTGTGTTGCAATGATAGCCTTTGTCCGGCTGCCGAGCCTGAAGGTTTCCTGCTTGCTGCTCTCTGGGTTATTAATTTATGATGTCTTTTGGGTAAGTGTTTGGTTTGGTTTTGCTAAAACTGTTTTTATGCTTTGGATTTGTAATTGGCCTTGGACCTGTTTTACATGAATTATACTGGTATGAAGTTGAGGAAGTCTGGCAAAGCCAGAAGATTGGCTCCACCACTCCATTCTGAGGTGCTGAATTCTACAACAGGATACACAATTATTTCCTTGCTAATTATTTGAAATAAAGCATAAATAAAGGTTAGAATATTTTGGCTTCTGCATATTATTAAAAAGCCCCAGAATTTGGATCTCAGATTTTGAAAGCTGGCTGAAGATGAGAACAGGTACTTCCCACACACACAGAGCTGTGTCCACATGGCACAGGGCACACGTGCTGACTTCTGATTAGCAGTGAAATCTGCAGAACAGGAATGCAAATGGACTTACAGCCAGACAGGTTGGCATAAAATCTTAGTGCACTTCTACAAAAAACCTGACAGAATGTGTTCTGTAATAGCAAGAGGGGTTTGTTTTACTTTTTCATAACACCAAGCGCTGATCCAAGGCAGCACCCACTGACTGCTCTGGCAACCAGAGATTCCAGTGGGATGGGCTGTAGCATAAAAGCCTGCTAGAGACAAGGGCTGCCTCATTCCATTTATGAGTGAGCACCATGCTCACCTCTTCTCTGTTCTGCACATTCCTTCAGTTTTCACGGTGCTGTTACCCGCATTTGTCATCCCACACTATCTGCTTGTTGTCCAGACAGATTCTTTGCCAAAGGATCTCAACATATTAATCAATATCTTGATATCAAAAAGTATATTCCAGTTATTCTTGAGGATTAATAGTGTAAAAAGCTCTATCTGAATTTTTGAAATACATTTTGCCTTTTATCATCATAAGGAAAATAGCCTTTCTTTTCTTGAGTAGCAAAGCAAAAATACATTCAGCTCGAGTTGCTGTGTAATTGCAGTTTGTAACTTCTGATTACCTTGCTCTGTAGGTCTTTTTTTCTGCCTACATCTTTAACAGCAATGTTATGGTGAAAGTGGCCACACAACCAGCTGATAACCCCCTGGATGTGTTATCCCGGAAACTTCACCTGGGACCAAATGTGGGCAGAGATGTTCCCCGTCTGTCGCTGCCTGGCAAACTTGTGTTCCCAAGGTAAAAGCTTCTTTCACTGTACTACATCAGAAATGTTTTCCCTCCATATACTTAGTAGTACTAACCGTTGGAAAATCCCTGTTTAGTCATTCCCTCTTCATGCTAAAGAGGTATATGATGAGCAGTGAGGACTGGACACTTTGCTCATTCATGGAGAAAAGAGCCTGACTGGGGTAAAAGGTGCCCTGTTCAGAGCAGGATGCACTTCTCGACATTTGTGAGAGTTCTGCAGCCTGATGGTTGCTAGTGTGACCTCACACTTAAAATAAGCAAAAGATTTATAATAACATCTTGTTATTATTATAACAAGATTTATTATAACATCAGAACAGTCTGAATTACTGTGTAATTGCAGATGATTGGGAAGGAATTGGAAACTGATCTAAGCAAGGGTGGCTTCCCAAGCAAGCACAGTGCTGAAGGGAGATTATTCCACATGTCCCTGCTCCAGGGGTTCCCTGGTGGCTCACATCTCTAGGCAGACACGCCCAGGGCCTGGTGGGGCAGTAAGCTCAGTGCAGCAGCAGGCAGGCAGTAAGTTTCGTTAGGGTATTACTCTGCTCTTGTATCTTTAGATGTTGGGATGCTGAAATTACGGAGATTAGAAGTTGATTGTCTGCAGCGATATGAAATCACAAAGTGAACATTTTTCATTACAAATATCTTAGATTTATGATAATGGATTATTTTAGTTCTTAATCTTTTTCACAATTGGCTCTTTTCTGGGAATCTGGCAGGACTGGTTTTCTGTTTTGTCTGAATGTCCAAAATGGGTGTACTGGCTTGTTTTAGATCTGCATGCACAGGGATGAAGATGCACTTCATTGGAAATCAACAGTCAGATCAAAGGGTCAGTTGGTCCCTCCCATCAGCGCTGAGGAGCGACAGGACTGAAATACTGGGGCAGTGGGTCTGTTTCATTGAGTGGTTTAAGGGCAAAAGCAGTTTACTGGGAGAAGGAAGCTGGTTTGGAGCAATGTCATCTCTGCCCACACGGGTTTGTGTAAAGCTGAGGTGGTGAAGAAGCCAGTGAGGAAAACCTCATTAGCCAGCACTGGGTTCATGTGCAAGTTTGCCAGTAGAAAGAGGGCCTGTGCCAAATGAAGCTCAAAACACCTTTTGTTTTGGCCATGAACCCAATTCCAGTTGCTCTTTAGTTCCACAGGCAGCCACTTCTCCATGCTGGGGATTGGAGATATTGTGATGCCAGGGCTTCTGCTCTGCTTCGTCCTGCGTTACGATAACTACAAGAAACAAGCCAACAGTGATTCCTGCGGTGCCCCAGGACCAGGGAACATCTCTGGGCGTATGCAGAAGGTCTCTTACTTTCACTGCACACTTATTGGCTATTTTGTAGGTGAGTAATTAGTTCAATATTAAGATTTCCCTAAGTGAGCAGATGTGGGATTATTGTAGTAGGTTTAAAAGATGATGAAAGCAAGTGTAAAGAGGCTTTGAGAGGATGCTTGGTTATGTTCTTTTTAATCCTCCTCTCTTTGCATTTATTGGCATGGTCTAGGGAGAAAAGCCCTTCTATAGTCTTCAAGGGTTTTTTTGTAGTTGTTGTATTTAGAGGATGAAAGAGAATATCAGTGTGCTTTTGTTAGCACTTGCACTTTGCTTCACTGGCATAAAAAGCATTGTAACTAATCCCTGAGTGATGGGAAAAATATGGAAGTTTCCAGATGAATTATGCTGTGCATAGTACATAGCAAATTTAAGCAATTCACCTAGGCAATTCCTGCATTTTTGTATTCTGATCCTGACATAGTACACAGAGAAAATCATCAATAGGTACAACTGGAATGCTGTTTATAATTTGCTGTAGCCAGCCCTTTCCTGCCTAATATAAAATAGGCTTTTCCCTCCAGTCAGGGCATGCATGTGCATATCCTGACCTCCCACGGCCCTTCTGCGGCTGAAAAGGAAAGATCACTTCCTACCAATAGCCTTCCTTCCCCCACACCTCGATTTTCCCCCCTACATTCCCTTCTGGCAAGTGTCCAGGAAAGTCATTCCTGATGGGTACAGCCCTTCCTCTGAGCCCCAGCTGCTCAGGCCAGGGGCCACAGACCAACGGTCTCAAGAGCAGCATTTCAGTGCAATACAATCAGCTTCCCCCCTTCACATTTTGTTGTATTTTGTCTGAATTATTCTTGGCTTGAATCTTGAGATTCAAAACTGGACCAAGTGGCTCAACACAGCCTAATACTAAAACAGAATAATTTTTCACTCTTTTGTTTGTTTAAACTGCATTCAGGGAAAGCAAAGCACAGAGAAGTAACATTTCCTCGCCTGTCTCTCAGAATGGGGGTGAAGGAAGCCTCAGTGGATGAAATGCTGAGAACATCCACCTGCAACCTGAAGATATTTATAGTGACTTTTTCTCTTACAGGTTTATTAACTGCAACAGTAGCTTCTCGTATTCACCGGGCAGCCCAGCCTGCCCTGCTCTATTTGGTACCATTCACTTTATTGCCACTCCTCACCATGGCCTATTTAAAGGTAAGAGGGGAGAACACGTGGGCAGCAGGGAGCTCTGGGCCAGCTGGCAGCAGGGTCAGTGTCCTTGCAGTGGGCAGCAGCTCTCAGGGGGATGATGTGTGTCCCTGGCAGTCCTGGCCCAGCACAGAGCAACCACTGCTGTCGGGTCAGTCTTCATTTCAGAGGAATGAGCAACTAAGAGAGTTCCTGAAATAAAAGATCATTAATGCACATAAAGTACCAGTAGTTCTAATCTGAATAAATTCTGAAATATTAAATTCTGTTTTAATTGAATATGTGGATTTGTTCTTGTCCTGTTGGTCATTAAATACCACACGCACAAAGTTTGAACATTGATTGGAGAGGCAGAACCTTGCTTGCCTTTTCCCAGTCACCTGTTCTGAACAGAAATTGTAAAATTTGCCTTTCCCTCCCAGGGCTGTTGTCGAAGCACACATCTAGCACTCTGCAGAGCAGAATGTAAGAAAGGGCAGGATTTTCAACCTGAGTAATTGTTTCCTTCCCATCAGAAACCTATTTTGGGTATATCTGCTCTAAAAGTAAGATATTCTGGCCTGACAGGGAAAGGATTTATTTTTACTGTCTTTATTGTAATTTATAAAACAGGTGAAGAAGAGATTTGCTCTAAGATGTGTTTGCAATTCTGTGTGCATTTTAAAATGTGAATTGTAAGCAGAGTTGAGCATTTCTGAGGGCAGGTCCTTGTGCTGTTTCCTGCCTAGGGCGATCTACGTCGCATGTGGTCTGAGCCTTTCCACTCCAAGTCCAGCAGCTCCCGTTTCCTGGAAGTATGATGGAACGGACAGGAAGTGACCTGAACTTCTGCCTTGGTCCTTTTCACTTTAACTTGTGGCTTTGTTGTCTCCTAAAGCTGGACTGGCTGGTACTTGGGAACGTACCAGCGATGGGACACGTATGAAAGGACTTTGTATTAAAGGAGGGAAAGAAAAAGCTGAAATCCCAGAGCTCCGTGTGACTCCGTATCTCCCTGCAGATGTGGAATTGGGGACCCTTTGTGCAACTGCAGCCACTTTCCTCTTTTCCTCACTCGGACGGATTAGTACCAGACTATTACCTTTGTGAGAGAGGAAGAGACACACTTGAAACTAAAAACGGCTTGAAGTCGTTCAAAAACTTGAACACTAAACGCAAAAACAGTTAAACAAACTGAGGCTTCTTCAGAGAACCCCTCGTGGACATTGGGACCAGTTTCCTGCAGGACTTCGGTTTTGAAAAGAACTGAGACAGAAGGTCTTCTGTCACAATATTGGGTTTTTTTGATTTATTAAATATTTCCTGTGGTGTGAGGTTACTTATTAAATCCACAGACATTGAGTGACTTCTTGCAGTATACATATAAAATTTGTTGTAACAAGTTACATTTCCACCCAGATGTCATATTGCAGTGAAAAAGGGCACGATTTTTATACATATATATATACACACATATAGATATATATATGAATAAATAAAAAGGAAAACCTGCTAAGATCATGCTGTGTAGCAGACAGGGGCTTGCTGTAATTTTTAGCATGTAGAGCAGTTACTCTGGCTTTATGTATATGGATCTACAATGAGCTGCTGTTTTTCCCCCCTCCTACAACTGAACCTGCAGTTTAAAACCAAGTGTAGTATTTGTACTGGTTGTCCCATGGACTTTAGGGGATACTTGATTTGATCAATGTAGCAAACTAGGGAAGAAAAAAGTTCAAACCCAGCCCTGTGTGTCTGAGGGGGGAGGAGGTGGGGGTGTCTTTTTTTTTTTTTTCCTCCTTTGATTTTTTTTTTTACAAACAGCTCCCTTGCAGGTTTTTAGTGGTTCCTTCTTGACCAGTGCATGTATTATAGCAGCAATTGTCTTTGTGCTTTCTGATCATAGTAATGTATCACTTGTAAATACATTTTTTCTATTTTCTATTTTTTTGTATTTTTTGCATTTTGTTTCATTAGTGTGCTGTATTTTTCCATGCCCCTGCCCCTCAAAGAAAAAAAAAAAAAAAAAAGAAAAAAGAAAAACTGTCCTTTACTGTTGTGACTGGTTGGAATTTGTGTGTTGACTGCTTTCTACCTGTAGTCTGTTAAAATGTGGATTTTATTCTTTCTTTTTTAAAACCAGCAATTCCAGCTGTTATTTTATTGACTGAAAGGTTTTCCTGAGGTAACTAAACTTTTTTCCTTTCAAGTACTGTGCCAAGTGAGGTCTGGGGAGCTCTCCTGAGAGCTCACAGCTCTTGTTAGTTGACAGATGCTGGCAGTGTTAGTGGCATGGGAGGAGGAATGTTGGAGACTGACTGACAGCAGCGAGGTGACTTTGGGACCGGTTTTGTTCCAGGTAAGGGAGGAGTTGATCAAACACCTGAAGCTCTCAGCACTGTTGGGTGGTACAAGAGCATATGGGACATGGCAGGAAATTTTGTCCAGCCACATGTGTGCTGTATTGCTAATGTCATTACTTAACCCCTTCCTCTGTTCTCAAGCAGGTCTGGCACTGGTGGCAGAGGGCCTGATGCCTCTGAGCTGGCTGGGATGCACCTCCAAGACAGCTGGAATGTCCCAGGATAAACAGTAAGACACAGCTCAGCCTTTGCTGGGGGGGCAGGGGCACTGAGATTTAGCAAATGTGGGTGGGTGTGGCGGGGGGGACGTTGGGACTTTCTCACACACTCCCCCAGAGTTCTTTTCTTTCCCTTAGCTGAAAGCATTCCCTCTGCCATGTGCCTGCAGTGCTCATTCTCAGGTAACTGTCACTTTTTAATGAAATTCATGGTTCTTCATTGAGAATCTGCTTTTTCTGTTCATGTCAGGTGTTAGGTGCCAGACTTGCTGGGGACAGTAGAAAGGCATCAGTTTTGAACTATACCTCAGACATGAGGTGAATAAAATACTGAGGCAGGTATTCAAATAAAAAAGGCTTTTTTGGTGGCTTTTGTTTTGCTTAGAGGTTCCAAGCAGTGGAATAACAAATTCAGATCCACTTCACTGCAGCTTTATCTGCCCAGCCTTTGCACCTACCTGACAACTGTGCACAGCTCAGGCACCATCAGCTTCACAGCAGTTCCCTCCTTTGGAATTATTTCTTTGGAATTCCTCTGGAATTAAAATAGGAGGTCTTTCTCTGTTTTGCAGCAGCATTTTTAGGCCCTGCCTGCTAAGTGTCTTTATGAACAATTTCTACACTTAGAGAAGCATTCTGGAGAAACTTTTGGAAGTGGTAATTGATAAACACTTGATGAGAATTAATTTAGCTTTCCCCAAAAAGCCTGGCCTTCCTTGTTAAGCTGTCTTGCCTCCCTGCACTCTGTGCCCTTCTGCACCAAGACCCAAGTGAGCCCTTACTGAGCCCTCTGTGCCCCTCACACTGGGCTGGGGCCCTGCCCAGCTGAGCACCCACTGCACTGGAAGGGGTTTGCTGCCCCTTCAGCCAGCAGGAAAAGGATTTTGGTGCTTGGCAGAGGTTCACTGAAGTTTAACTGGACTAAGAAAAAGTGCTTTCCCAGAGCTTTAAGTTAAAGCTGCACAGCTTTGTCCTACAGCTCTCCCTCTTCAAACCATTCGGGGCATTAGAAATGGATCCTACCTGGCTGCTCAGCTGTGGGCCCTCCCTGCACAGATGGACCTTTGGTCCTTGTCCTTCCAGTCTGATGTGTCTCTTCTGGTTGAGGATCAAGCTGTACAGGGTGCTTTGGGTCCTCTGGATGTTGGGAGACTGTGCAGGACCTGGGTTTCTGTCTCCAGAGTCTGGTACAGTTGCTGATGCCTTATTTGTTGAACTCCTTAATAAACTAGACACAAAGTCCTGCAGTGAGATTGCTCAACCTCCTGCCCCTTCTTCTGGAAAGTTGTCAAAAGTAACTATTTTAATAATTGACTAATATAAACCTTCTTGCAAGAGGTAAAATGCTGGCAAAAAAGTGATAGTCAGTTGTCAGGACAGACCAGAACTGTAGTGTACAAATCTGCTGACAGGTCTGGTTCCCCAGTTGAATTTGAAATTAGTTTTTTCATTCAAGTTACAGCACTGTCACATTTCCTTACCACTATTCCATGTCTTCATTCTATTATTCTTCCAGGCACTTTGCTTTTTTACTTCAGGATGTCTTTCAAATATACTGTTTTCCATCTTTTTCCAAATTCCAACATAACCTGAGTGTGTGGCTGTTGCCTGGTCTGTGTTGATAGTGAGGGCTCTCAACTTAGGTGAAACAAAGATCTAATTTAAAATCGGAATAATTTTTTCCTGTTTTCAGAACAGCTCATCTCCCTTTAGTCTGTAGGGAACTCACAAGGAAGAGTCTGAGCTACATGATACAAAAGCTATCAGGTCTAGGGTGCGGCAGGAGGTAACTCCTGGTTACTGTAACTATATTTTCTAAAAAAGGTTTCTAGTTTAGGCTCCACCTGCTTCATGCCTCATAACCAGTTTCAGGTACTCTTAGAGCATTGTGGGGCAAAACCACAAAGTCCTTGAGAGGTGTAGCTTTTGTTCTTGAGAAGTGACTTACCTCCTTCCCCACTTGTTTCTAATTTATGTGTAACCTGATTTTCCCATCTCTGTGTCCCAGCTTTGCAATGTTGGCTGAGTTTGTCAATTGAGAGAAAGCTGGAGCTTCACCTGTGAACAGACCCTTTTCTCCATGGAGAGCCTGGCCCTGCCCACACCTGGGTTTGTGCTCTCTGAGGGTGGCTTGGTAAGAGCTGCTGATTTAATGCTGCAAAACTTGTTTGTGTTTTGCCCTTTCAGCAGTTCCTCTGCGAACAGTCCTGAGGAGCAGACACACTCATCGCACAAAGATCTCTCAGCCAGCAGTGAGGAGTAAGCTTGAAGTATCTTGCTCTGAGCAAAGCCATTGCTTTGCTCTGGGAGCTCTGGGCCTTTGTGTGTACCCATGCTGTTTTACCCCCAAAGCAGTGCAGTGTCACAGGGTGCTGAGCTCTCTGACTGAACCTGCAGAAAGCTTTTGTTCAAAAGCTTTTCCAAGCTTTTTTTTTTTTTTCTTTTTTTTTTTTTGCTACCTCGAGCTTGTAGGTTCTCTGTCCTCCATCAGCTGAGGTGGTCACAGCCAGCACAGTGAGTAACAGGGATGGTTTCATTCTGCTCTGGAGAGAAGCTGCAGCAAATAAGAGCTGGTAATGAGGGAGGCTGAGGGTGAAGAGGGGCACTCAGCAAGCACTGACAGCACAGCAGATCTAAGAGAAGCACCTGGATGAGAGGGAAAATGGGCTGGCAGAAGTGTGACTGTGCTGGCTCACTGGGGATTCATCTGGAGTGCAGCATAACAGGAACTCTGCATTCCTGAAGTCCTCACATCCCTGCAGCTCCTGTTCTACCTGAGTGGCTGTAAGGAGAAATTAGTGTAAAATAGTATCCCACATCTTCAGCTACCATCATTGAAGTGAGCCTGCAGCAATCAAAGAGGTGATACAGGCTGAAATCAGCCTTCATCCAGAGAAGCCCTCCATAATTTACAGCACATTCAAGATCATTGGAATGATTTTCCAGTAGGAATGCTCCTGTTGAATGCACTGCCTGGCGAGTTCTGTCAATCCTTATGCACAGTAGAACAAGGAGAAACTGAGCACTTGAGGCCCTTGCCCCAACACGCTGTTGCCCTCCAGCGCCCTGCACAGGGATGACGGACATCACTGAGAACTGGTCTCACTGGTGCATGCAGGCCCTACTGGTTTCTGCTCCTGCATCTTAGGACTGGAAGAAATTATTCTAAATTAATTCACATCTGCATCGAAAAAAAAGGTGAGGGAGTGATGGTCCTTTAAAATCAGGTTTTATTTGTCTTCTCTGCTCTCTCATGTAACAGAATCCTGCTCTTCTTCTCTGCACACAAGTCTAAATAAATGGCACCACAGGAAAATAACCATTTCCCTCTAGTGTACTTGTCTGGACAAGGAGGCGGACCGGACCATACAGGCTCTAGTCTTAATCCTCTCCCTCTTCTCTTGAATTTAGAGCTTTTCCTTTGGCTGTTGATCCTCCTAAAGTTAATGTCGTCTTACCAATGACCACTGATTGAGGATGTACTACTGCTAAAGCTTCCTGGTGAGGTTTGTGTGTCATCTCTTCATTTCTTCGTTGCCCAAAACATGTCAAGATTAAAAGCTGTTACTGCCCTATCAGGCACTTCCTTTCCTGCTGATATTGCAGAAGCAGATTTGGGAGGAGAGTGGGTTTTTTGTTTGTTTTGGTTTTTTTACAAAGTAATCCTAGGCACTGCAGCTTAGCTGTCCTTTGCTTCTGTCCCTACAGCCCAGAGCAGCTGAGTGAGCAGGTGCTGGGCCCTGCTGGCCCAGATCGAGGAATTCTTTGCATTTTCAAGTCTATGC